TTTTTTTTTTTATCCCCCCCCCCCCCCCCCCCCCCCAACTCCCCATGTATGATTTGAATATGGTTCAAATTAAACATATCAGGCAATGTCACACATGTGAGGACATGAGTCTAGGAAATAAACCCTTTTTATTTTCCTGACCAGTGAGGGGAAGACTATTGGGTAACTTACCCCGTAAAGTAGGACACGCAATTGGTGGTAATATGTAATACCTCTTGGAGCTGGTGGCTGACTTTCAGGAGAATTTTGAATATAAAACTTCAGTTTCAAAAATGAATGGTATGGGGAAAGGGGGAGGACTTTACCTAAAACAAATATATTACATTAGAGGACCAGATAAAGGTGAAGTTAGCTTAGAGATAACTGTTTTGCTGTCAGGCTTGGTTTCTAGATCAAGTGATAGATGTAGAATCAAATGGGCATTCAATTAAAAAAAATAGTTTGGGGTGTCCAATATGGCTTAAATTAGCAGATAACTTTTTCCAGTAGATCATAATTTCTTCCTTTAGATGATAATGCTCAAAATAGTACTTCAGCCATGTTTTGTTCCTGTTCCATGCTTTGGGGCTGTTATCACAGCTCCAAGTAGAGTAGCAGTAAAAATTATGAGTGGTTTGTTTGTTTTTTTTTAAAACTGTTTACTAGAAGGCATTTATGCTGAATAACAGAATGGGGAAGTAGAGAGAGCCAAGATAAAACATAATCACTTAAAGCATATACCTGTGAGACCCTGTATTAGTAAAATCCTGATGAATACATTTTTAAAATTATTTTTATCATGTATTCTGGTTATATTTTCATTTAATTCTGTTTGGATATTAAACCTAGATGGGCTTTTTCAGTTGACATCATAGTCCGATTCCTGTCCATTAGTATAGCACTGTTGCATTTGGATTTCCAGCACTCTAAGGGCAACATTTACATGTCAAACCAAAACAGTTTTACTGAAAACATTTTCATATTTAATTTCATTTAGAGCAGGGCTGTAAAACCTGTGGCACAAGCAGCCTTTATGTGGCATGTGGGAGAATGGGGAGGGGACAGGCAGCATAATAGCAGGTAAGATGAGAAGCAAAGCAGCAAATTGGCAGGGAGCAGAAAACAGAGCAGCTCATTGGGTAGAGGAAAAGGATCAGAGTGGGGGAAGATGCAGAGCTAACTTGTGGCATACCTTCCCAAAGGTTGGCTCCCACTGATCTAGAGCAGGGGGTGGCAACCAGGGGCATGTGCCACAAGTGGCAGGGGCAGCCTGTGTGGGGGGCTTTCAGCAGATTAGAGAGAGGACAGGCAGCACAGTGGCAGATAAGTCAGGGAGAAGAAATCAGAGCAACAGATCAGGCAGGGAGCAGAGGATAGCAAGGAAAAAAGAACAGGCAGGAAGCAGCAGGTTGGCCAGGGGAAAGGGACTGGAGTGGCATTTGGGGAGATTGCAAGGCTAATTTGTGGCACTCCTGACAAAAAGATTGCTCCCCCACTGATCTAGAGCTTCTGCTTTCAGCAGCGAATGTGGGAGACTACAGTTGTTGACACAGAATTTTCTTATTCCAACTACTGCAGCAGACTTTCAAAGTTTAACTTGAGATTTTATTTTTCTGACATCCAAATATAGAGCTGATGTTTCTGGAAACAAGTGCACTAACAGGGGAGAATGTTGAAGAGGCCTTTGTACAATGTGCAAGAAAAATACTCAATAAAATTGAATCAGGTAAATTGAAATTAAGATACTGATTAAGCATATGTTTTCAGCTTTGGTCCTACAGTTTCACTAAACTGTCTAGCAGTAAGTGTTCAGTGTGAATGTACCAGTAAATCAAATACCTCTATGAAATTTTGTAATTGACTGAAAGAAAACACAGTTAAACATTGTAACAGGCTAATCCATTTGTTTATCAGAGCCTATATGATTCTTCAGGCCACTTTTGCACCTATTCTTTGTGTATGGGTGCAGAATAGTGTCAAAGGTATTGGCTAGATCATATAAAAAGAGTGAGGCTTTTGAGAGCACTTCTAGTAAGTGCCCATGTGACTTCTGGTTGAAGTCAATTCATTTTTAATTATTCTGGAACTGCCAAAACACGCTGCATGCTTCACAATACAAGTGGGGAGGTCTAGGTCAACAAGAGGCTTCTTGGTACTCTGACTTTGTCAGCAGAGTGGTTCCAGTTTCTAGTCTGTTTCTAACTTTCATCGTGTTTCCTGACTTGGAATCTTTTCAGACATGAAAACTCAATTATGTATGGACACAGTTTAAAGTGTTTAATGCCAAGAAAATATTTGTATTTAAAAGCTATTTAAAGAAATAGTTTATTACTTTTCTAAGTTATTTGCCTTTGTTTCTGGCATCTTGATTTCCTTTGTTTGAAAATTAGTCTCTAAAATTGGAGAATGAAATTCAAACCAGAAATAATTTCTTTTTTCATAAAAAGTAGATGAAATACAAAAAGAACACTTGTTGCAACCACATGACTTGTTTAGGAGATGCACTGTGTTCTGGGTTGTATAATTAGAGCCTGCTACAGAAGATTGAGACGTTTACAAGTTTATCAAAAGTAAACAAAATGTAATAATTTCTTGTAGAGATGGGATAAGATAAGGTAGGAAAATACAAATGAACAGTCTTATCTGATGTTACCAGTTTGCTTGGAATATATTTATGCATCCACACATGATCAACTCCATTAAAAAAAATTCTCATCAGGTGAATTGGATCCAGAAAGGATGGGCTCAGGTATTCAATATGGCGATGCTGCCTTGAGACAGCTGAGATCACCACGTAGAGCACAAGCCCAAAGTGCTCAAGAATGTGGATGTTAAGAAAACTGAACAAAAAAGTCCTGAACGCTCATTTTAGATGCAAGAGGTAAGCCTCTTTGGTGGATTACCATACCTCATTTGATGCCTTAATACAGAGCCTTCCAATTTTGTGGTATTGAACTTTTACCAGAGTGAAATTGTAGAACTTGGTAGCATCAAGCAAAATAATAAATAAGGGCTTACTTCCAGTGTTGGGTTGTTTTGTTTTCTTCTCCTAAGTAGAAGCAGTTTTCATGCTTCAGGTCCTTATTGAAATCTGAAATAATTTGCTTTTTATTCCATAGTATTTCTCAGAAAATCCAAAAAGCTTATCCTTTGGCAAGTTCTACTGCCAATCTTGTACCTTTTAAAAGATGCTGATGACTGGACAAGGGCAGGCTGTTTTTACAATGTGATCACAAAATACTACCAGAAATGTAAATATTAAATATATATAGTGCAGCCCCATATCTTATTAAAGGCCTTTCATAATCATGCTTTAAAGAATGAGTGGTAAAGACTCATCCTGCTCTCAAAAAATAATTAAAGTACAGTATTTGGTTCCAATCTTTGTTCTGCTCTCCCTACAAGGAAGACCGGCGCTTGGTGTCTTGCATTGCTTCACGATATGGGCAAAAGGGAAGAAGCAGCCCCAAGACTGTTCATAGCCTCTGGAGGAGAGACCTGTTTTCCAGAGATATCCAAAAGGCTGGAAGGGAGGGCTGGAGTGTTTCCTTCTAACTCTCCTGTTAGTAGTTGTGCGGGCGAGGATCAGAGGGACAGATTCCAGTAGAGGTCTGCAGCTGATTGCTTCTTGCAGTAATGCTGGACTCTTTTTCCACCAGTTTGTTGTTGCTTTTAGCTGCTACGAAAAGAGGAGATTAAATGGGCTGTGTACAGCTGGCTGTACTCAGAACTAGAAAATTAGTGCTACTTCAGAACTGGAGAGGGAAAACTGCCAGTACACCATCTGTGTCCTCTCCAGTACCACACAGGGAAAGATAGGATAGAAAGTTCTGTTCTAGGGGTTAGAATATTGTTTCAGCTAACAGTCTTCACCAGGAACACTTCCTTTTTTTTCTCAGCAGTCTCCTTCAGGTACCAAGGGATTTCATGAGGGACTTTTCATCTGGCCCCTTTCAGTCGAGTTGATGTGGGTGGGTGACTTGCCCTAAAGACTAACCCTGGGTAGAAGATTTTCTTCTGTTGTTCTGCATCTGTTACCACCTACCTTGAGCATCCTGCTGTGCCTCCCTGTTGGTGACAATGCTGTTTAATTGTAATTGGCTACTGGGAATGACATTTTTTTTCTTTGCAAGGAATGAGAATGATCTTAAGAGTTAACGTGAAGCTAGGCTATAATAAAGCCTTCTGTTTACCGATTGCAAAATAAACCTTTGTACCTAAAAGAGTTTGGCAGTCTGTCTCTGCAGAACTGAAGGAGACTGGCAAGGAGTAGCCTAAGGGAGATGGATTTTGTGTTTTACTTAATACCTGCTTCATACTCTGGATTGAGCAGGACAGAAGCCAGGGTAAAGAAGGGAGAGGGCATCCATTTGGAGTCATTTTCACTTAATTGTGGCACCAGACAATCTTGCATGTGCATGGATCCAATTGTTGTATCTGTTCCTTAAGGATAAAGTCCCTAAAATGTGCCCATCAATGATTAAAGCTTTTCTGTTTTACAGCTGTCCGTGCAAATGGTGTTTGGAGAAACAGACTGACAAAGCTTGAAGGCTATGCAGTTTTTTAAAACATCTTCCCCACTGTATATAACCAGAACAGGCCACTGCTGGAAAAAGAGTACTGTAGGGTAATATGCAGAAGTGTGCACATGACACAGCAGACTGCAAAACAAACCTAAATATTCAGTGGACAATACTAAACTCATACCTGTAAGCATTTTCTGTTACATTCTTTTGTCCCCTCAACTTCACTTCAGAGTATTACTGTATCCTGTATATAATGTAACAGTAAAGTTCCAAAGCATGATACACTTATGTATGATAGAATGTTGCACTAAAAGCAATTTAATATTTTATTTTTTTTATCATAACTAAAATTTAACTGTGAGGTAGGCTTTATCATGTTTGTGTTTATTGCACAATCAGTTGTATTTATGACCTGAAATACAAAGCCACTGGCATTGACTGTCAGTGATTTTTTTTTTTTCTCCACCTTCCCCCCTTCCTCCCCCACTCCCTTCACTCTGCCACTTCTATAAAGTGTTTACATGATCCATTCTGCAGTACAGTTAAGGACTTAAGTTTACGAATCCGTCATGTTTGGAAAGGACATTTTTAATGAAGTACATCTGCCCTGTTTTCTGACAATTCTTAAATAAATGTATGTCAAAAAGTGTTCTGTCAAACTTTGTAGGTTAACAAGTGTTGCAGCTAAGTCCCTGAAATGACAGCTGTTTGACATTTAGATCTTGAGAGGTTTTTTTCTTTTTCTCTGTGCTGGTTTGCTATGTAGAAAGGGGGTCATGGAGATTGTTTGTCTGTGTGTTTTGCATCCCTGAATGTTTTTTGTCTGTGTTGCGATTCTAGTGCAGTGGGATGACTTGGAGGACCATCGCTGTAGGAGTTCTTTTTTGTGCTAATCCCCCTAGGTTACACTTCTCTCTTATACTATGTATAATCATTAACTCGGGAGGCATGGCTGGGCAGTTCTGCTCCCTGGACGGCAGCAGCACATGTGGCAGTAGCTGGGTTGCCACAGCCAGCATTAGTGGTCACTTTTTGTGCTCCCCTCTGAAGTCGGCACCCAGGGCTGGTACCCTGTTCACCACCTCCCTCCATTAGCTATATTATTGGATTAACTAAGCAATCTACTGTAAAAAGAAGGTTGCTGAATCTGTATCTGCAGAGTTCATTTGGAAGCAAAGCGTTTCAACCATACAATGCATAAGAAGTAAAATCAATGACCCTGAATGTGTGAAACTTTCAAATTATTAGGGTTTATTTTAAAATGCTTTTATAGTATTTGCCTAGCATAAATGTAAAAAGTATCATTCCACCTAGCCTCTTGTGATCCATCTTCTACATATTTCCCCTACCAGCATGGTATGGAGTGCCATCCTTCCTGTCTCCAGGCCCCACTGAAGCTACTTCATGATGTTGGGGATTAATTTATATGAGAAGAGAGTGGCTGCATGTGGGGGTAGGGTTTTTTTTGTCTTATTCCCCCACCCCCTAATACCACCAGAACATTCAACCTGATGGATTAGCTTTAGCATGAAGGTGCTAAGCATTCTTTGGAATATCCCTCTCACCCCTTTTATGGTGGGAAAAGGATTTGTGGTAACAGTTGCCACTGGAAATTCTGACCTCTTGGCATTTGAAGCTGTAATGAAGAGGTAGGAAAAGGCTGAAGAGTTGGAAATGGCACAAGTCCCCGACTGTGTCTACCTTACTGTCTGGCTAGGGGTGTGCGTGTTAGGAAGTGAGGGAAACTGCAGCTTTGTATTGCAAGTTAAGGACCTGTAGAACAGAGTGGGTATTTCCGGGCATGCTTAAAGGTGATGCTTAATGGTGAAAAAGGGCACAGAGAGATCCTAATTATATTACTAAAAATCCAGAGTGACTGCATTGACCTCGGTCCTAGCTGGAAATGATGTCACTTGAGAAATCGGAACACGCACAAAAAATGGTTCCACTCAGACAAGACACCTATATTGGAATGTCAAGGGCAAAGACTGCTTTATTCTATGGTCTATATGACCTGTCTCTAATTAAGCAACATTTTGGGGTAGCATATGTGTGTTTCAGGGCTAAAGCAGAAATGGTGCTATACTTCCAGGGGCTGATGCTAGCACAAAAACAAACCTAGAGTGGGGAGATCTTTTAATGTTGATGTAATGCTTGGCTTAAATACAGTCTTTCTGAGGCAAGAGATTTGTCAATTCCCCCTCCTCCCCCCCCCAAAAAAAAAAGTAGGCTGTGGGTCTCTCTAAATTAGCAGCATCAAATCAAAAGAATTCAGTGTAAGCCCTTGTCAAAGATTTGTGCTGGAAAACCTAGCTTGCAGGCCAAGGCTTTTGATCATGTCCCCTCTCTCCATATAATGGTCAGCATGCATTATTGGACTGGAACGCCTGCTGAATATGCTGTATACAATGTAGCATGCATGTTTATTACACACTTGACCAGACCCGCTCCCAAGCAATGTTCCTTTCCAGGTATAGTTTGACATGATTAAGCTAACTAAGTGCTACATTTACCAGAGCCTCGAGTAACTCCAGAGGAACTTATTAAATAAATATCTGCCTTGATCCCATCTCCTGGATTGTCTTCCTTATTTAGCATCTGGAAGTGGCCATCTCCCCTGTTACTCCATTTCCTCTCCCAGAATAGAGAAAGTAACTGGTACTTCAGACTCCCAAAACTAGGAAGCATTGATACAATCCCAGACTTGAAAGACCCTGGCTGTAGCTTTGATTTTTTTTTTTTTTTAAATCTACTCCTTTGGGAGGAAAGTCTGTCTATGGGCATTTCCCTATAAGAGCTTCCTGCCACTTTCTTGAAGATGGGAGAACTTCCTTTCCCTGTTTGTTCTGCAGCCTCTAGGCAAGAATGGATGTGGGGAAACATTTTGGCAAGTGTCAGGGTTTTGCCTTAGCATCACAAGTCACTTTTTGAACATGGTGAGGAAGGGTAAATTTGCCTATTCCTTAGCTCTGACGTAGCACAAGCCAAGACCTCTCTTGCCAACATCACCATTCTTAAATATTATGGTGGTTATAGGGCATTTTGATTAACTAGTTATTCTCATTCTCAGTCCGCTCAGTTGATGGGAGGGAGAAAGTGTTGCTTACCTAATGGACTTTTGTTTCACCTTCATGTTTCTGTCACCTTTGGTCTCTAGTTTCACTTCTTCCCCTTCTCTTTCCTTCACTAATCTTTACTTTCCTCCTCTCTTATAATGTAATCATTCTCTGCATTTGCAAATGTGAGTTTTGTTTTCAAAATGATCTTAAGTAACAAGTGATCCAGCTTTAAATCTGGAATGGTAGAAACGATGCCTCCTAATCTTCCCTCCAGTCCTTTGCATACAAGAGTAGCCATCGGTTATACCCACTCTGCTTGACAATTTTTGGTCATTTTTCTGGAATGAAAAATAAGCTAAGCACAGTTCTTTGTACCAAGTGTCTTAATCTCATATATCCCTTATGTGTGTTAAAAAGTAGCTTTGTTACAATGAGTTCATTATATATACTTGATATCAACATCTAAGTGTTTCTAAAAATAAAGCAGATCCATGCAGTCTGAGCGCACATTAACACAGTTAAAGTGCATGATTTATCTGTCAGATTACTGTGCTTCATATTTCACTTTAATAACATGTTGATAATAGGTTAAACTAACATTGTTTTATGCTGAATACAACCACCACTGGGAAAAAAAACTCTTCATGATGGAAGAGGTGTAGTTTATAATTGTGAAATGGTATGTGATCTAGACTCTTCAATTTTATGCCTGTAAGGCTAGAAATTTAATTTTTTACTCTTAATTTAATGGTTTATGCAATAAATAAAATATTGGCAAGTTTAAATGGTAAAATAATCCCCTCCCTTTGTATGTGTGTGCATTCCACTATGATGAAGTCCTTACTCTAATTGACTTACCAAAGCAAGATGGCCTAGCAAAGCTTTATAGAAACTATGCCAGGCAACTGAAGTCTAGACTTGGTTGTTCTTTACGGAGGTTTTTAATTGTTCGAGTTGTTTTAAAGATTTATATATTTTACAAAACCCTTTGTCTTAACTTTTAATGAGTCTGTTGCTGGACTGTGCCAGTACATCTGACACTTGTATCTAATCTTGAATAAAGAACTCTCTGGATATCATGAGTGTTTACAGTACCTCTTATTTCTGGTATAACAGTCTTACCCCTTTCTTAAAGTTTGGTGATGGTTTAATAATTGTTAGACCCTTTGCAGTGATTTAATTCCTGCTAAAGGCATTGTGTACTCAGTGTTTGGCTACAGAAACACTAAACTGTGCTGTACAGAATCCAGAATTAAATCTACTATTCCTGCGTGGGTTTTTGTTCCCAGTCTCCTCCTCTTCCCCTCTTTCTGCCACCCCCCACCTGCCCGCCTCAGCATGTCTAGAGTAGAAGTTTTCTTCTGCTATTCATATTCCACTACTGGTGTGAATGTAAACAAAGCAAGGACAGAGCTAGGATGGATTTAGTTGATAAGTCTTCAGATACCTGAATGATGGTTATAAAGACTATGGGCATTGTCTGTGCCTCTGACTGCAGGAGATGAGACGAGTAGCAGTGGTCTCAAACTGGAACAGGCATAATTTAGGGCCATGTTACAGACTACCTTTAAAACTGGTAAAGACACTTAAAAAAACAGGGGCATTCACCTGCTAAAGGGTGTTAATCTATCATAAGTACCCTCAATGTTTTAAAGATAAGCCACTCAGAATGAGGTATATCCTTAAAATATTTTCCCCCTGCCATTCTAGACTATTGTTTGAATGGTCAGGGGAGGTAAAATGCTTTACTTTCATTCTGCCTGCATCCCAGGATGTACAGCCCCCAGCCACTCCAGCCCTTTCCCTCCTCCAAAACTCTAGTTGTCTTCCTACTACAGAGGTGGGCAAAATGCAGCCCATGGGCTGGATGTGGCCCTCCAGGCCATTCTGTCCAGCCCGCAGGGCCCCTAAAAATTTAGAAAATTAATATATATATCTGCTCCTGGCTGCCTGTAATGTGGCCCTTGATGGCTTGCCAAAATGCAGTAAGCAGCCCTCCACCCGAAATAATTGCCCACCCCTGCCCTACTACCTCTTCCATGCTGAGAGCAGCCTCTCTGAGTAGCTTAATTGCAGAGAAACCATGAAGCTTGTGCAAATGTGCTTCTCTTGGCTGTATGGCCTGGCTCAAACTGATGCTGCAGCAGGGAATAAAGCCTCAGCAGCTCCATTCCACACAGCTGCCTGGGCTCAGTGATACCAGAGAGCCTAGGGGAAGGTACTTCTCTGGGCTTCCTGGTATTAAAACGGATATGGTAGCTCTGCACTGACAGCCAGACCACCAGGGGCTAACTGTTAAATATGTAAACATAATTCACAAAATAATCTCATAGATTACAAGAAGCCAGGGTGCTAAAAGCATCTAGGAAGAGCACACACCAACTGCTGAAACTTCCTTAGCCTGACGAAGGGTTTTTGAACCCGAAAGCTTGCTTAATAACTTTTCTCCAACTATTTGGGTTGGTCTAATAAAAGATATCAAATTCACCCAAGGAACCTTGTCTGCCTCTACCCTGTTGGGGCCTTTGAGTTGTTTGCAACAAAAGAATTGGTCTATTATTTTTTCTATAGTACAAAAAAAAAAAAAAAAAAGTGAAAACTAAGAGCTGGCATTTACAAAGGGGTGCCTTGAATCCACTGAGGGGTGCCTCAAGTAGCACCTTGTTGAAGGTATTTAAATGCATCTGATTCACTGAAGCTATAAGGGTAGAGACAAATAGCTGCTGGGAGGCCTGGCTGGGCACTTCCAAGACTAGACAGCAAGCACCTACCAAAGCCCTACTTTGCTCTTATGCAGAACTTGCCATTTATGCATTTCAAAGTACTTTGTAAAGGAGGCTGATCAGAAAACAGGCAGAGACTTCCCAAGACCACTTGGTAAACTAGCAGCAGGACAGGGCCAGAACTCAGCTGTCCTGACTGATGAATTGGATCATGAGCTGGGCAACACAGTTTCTTGCCTGTTTGGACCCTGTCACCATGTGAACAATATCAAGGATTGTATGATGGAATGGAGATTCCTTTCATTCCCTCCAGGCTGTAGTTCAGGTACGTGGGTGAAGGTTTGCTCTGCTTCTGCTTATTCTATATCTACTGCGTGAACGAATTCAGGACTTCCTTGTCTATGGCACCTTTAACCATCACTGAACCAGAGAAAAACCATTCTTGCTGAGTCTCCCTTCTCCATTCACCTCACTTTACCTTACCCTGCCCCCCAGCAGTGCATCAAGTCCTGACTCCTGTTGCTGCTTGCCAGCCCTCTAGTGGCAAGCCAGTTGTGCAGGTCAGAGATGGCATTCAAACCTTAATCTGTGACTGCTCTGAAACTGCTCTATAACAGCATGACAAGGTTCTTTGGGTAAATCTGATCTCTTTTATTAGACCAACTCAAATAGCTGGAAGAAATCCTTTTATAAGCTTTTGGGCACAAACACCCTTCATTGGGCTGAGGAAGCATCTGCAGTTGGTCTGTCCTTAGACCAACACAGCTGTAACCTACACCCCTGTAATAGCATAACATTTCACAGATTTAAAATGTTATAAAGGTAACCTGTAACAGCACCCTCAGATTGAATATTAGGAGGAACTCTCTCATTTGAGGGTGGTAAAGCTTTGAAACAGGCTACCCAGGTAGTGGAATCTTCATCCTCAAAGCTTTTTTTGAGACCAGTTTAGGCAGTTGGGTCAGGATGGTTTAGTCCGAGCCAATCCTACCTTGAGCAGGGGGATGAACTAGATGGCATCCTGGGGTCCCTTCCAACACTACTTTCCTGCGCTTGTATGACCCCCCTGGTTGTCTCTGTGGGGAAAGGGAGATACCAGTATAGGCTTTTTTTAAATTTGGGTTTTAAAAAAAGATGGGAAGTAACATCCCAAGAAACTTAACCTGTTTTGAAGTTGCAAAGTCAAGCTCTGAAAATTTAAGTAAGGTTAAGTACAAAAGGCAAGAGAATCAGCTACATAAGGGGCTGAATTATGATTGTTTTATTTTCCCGTAGGAGCAAGACAACATAATATCGATGCATTTCTAGAGTCAGCTAGCTAGAACTAACTACTTCAGTCAGAAAGCACGTAGCAAATGAGGCAGAAGACCAGATTAGATTTTGCACTGGCAATTCACATACCAAACTTCACCCCTGATCTTTGCACACCCAGCTTGAGAAACTGGGGGTCTAATTTCTACATGAGCTATGCATGCATCTTGGCAGCTTTGCCAGAAAAAAATATTATCAAATACTAAGTCCTCAGATGTTGGGTCCCTAACAGTAGTGGATGCTTGGTTTTCATCTGTGCCTCATCTTCATCTTTCCAGGAGTGTTGCAGATCAATTTAATAATATTTTAAAAACTTGAGACAATGGCTGAAACATGAGCCAATGAGGGAAGCTTCAGTGCTGGGTTTCCAGTATGCATACACAGTCTCCCCCCAGATACAGGATCTGTGGTACTAATCCAGTGGGCAAAGCAAGGGGACATGGTTACCTGAGATATTGTTGTCTTCACCAGGAAGTGCTGGACTTGAAGTTTTCAACATAGCTACCTTAATCTATTTTGTCTATTTGGAGTACAATGTGGCTGTCCTCCCTGCTCAGACAAAATGCTCCTGGTAGTTTTTACTTTGATAACATAATTCCCAGCAGTAGCACAAGTGAAGCTTGTCAAACTTACTGAAGTTACTAGCTGATGCCTACTAAGTTAATAGATGACCCCCCTTAGCCTCCCATCATTACCTTGCCTGTCTGTAATTCTCAACTTCTTTTTTTGTGCCAGCAGCTGAAGAGTAATGCATGGTCACTGAGACAGCTAGGATTTAGTCTTGCCCTTGTTAGACCCTACCCTGCCACTACCTTGGGGCATCACAGCAACATCAGTGCCATAGACCAGGGCTGTCTAGTGGGGGCTCATAGGCTGCATGTGGCCCCTAAAGGGTTAGTATGCAGCTTGTGAGTTCCTGCCTGGTTGCCCTGCTGTTGCTTTTGCCAGCAGGAACCAGATTGTCCAGGCTTGCCTACCCTGCTCCAGTTTTGACATCCTGCCCGGCTCCTGAGGAACAAAGCAGGTGGGGACCAGGGCACTCATGCTGTGCACACAGCAAGGGAGGGTGCTGTGTTGCTCACACTGCAGGCAAAAAAGGCATAAGCCAGGCTGCCAGCACTGCAGGTCAGTGCATAACTAGGAGGGGAGCCTACTAGGCTGCCTATGAGGAGAGCAATCCCCAATTTGTGGCCCCTAAGACTAGCCCAGGCAGCATATGGCCCCTGGCTGCCCAGCTGTTGGGCAGCCCTACCATACAGTATTGAAGCCATTTTCACCCCTCCACTAACCTGTGAAAACAAAACAGTGTTAGGGGCCCAACGTGGATTAAGAAATCATGTTATACTGAACCATGTGTTTGCTTTGGCCGTCTCAAATACTGCAGGAATAAAACAGCAAAAGGAAGAAGGGAGCAGAACCTGGAGGGTGACAACTGTAAAGAGTTCAGGAGAGACTTAAAACATCCTGTCCTAATCCCACCCCGTAACAAAATACATAGCCCTATGTCACGGCAGGGTCCTGTAGGAGGGCCGTGATCTCCTTAAGGCCCCCTCTCCGTGTCAAGTTGGCCCAAGGGCGCCCTCTATTTCTCGTGTGCCACGTCTTTGATGGTTTGAGTTGGCTGGGAGGCTGCCTTACGCCCTCTTGGACACGTAGACTCCTGGACCCCTCATGGGTCTTGTCCTGCACAAATGGGTGCTTTTGGGGCACCCTAGCCTTTTGGGCTATGCGTGGCTCCAACCACCCATGATACCACGCCCCAAGCCTCGCAGATGGAATTGACGTTGGTCTGTCTCTGTCTATATTCACGCCCGTCTCCCGGGCCTTCTCTGGTGTGCGGCCCCCCTCCTGGGGTTCTCCGAGTGCTGCCCCCTTTCCTGGGGCCTTCTCTAATAAGGCGCTCCCCTCTTCAGGGCTTGCTGTGCCCACCTTGGGCTTCTTAAAATGCTGCCCTCCTCCTGGGGGCTCTCTGCGCCCACACTTGGGCTTCTCAAAGGTGCGCTCCCCTCCCTGGGGCTCACCATGCCCATGCTAGGGCTTCTCAAAAGTGCGCGCCCCTCTCTGGGGCTTGCCACACCCACACCAGGCTTCTCAATAACGCCCCGTCTCTGTGGCTCGTCACGCCCGCACTGGGACTTCCTAGTAGTGCCCCCTCCTAGGGCTCGCTGTGCCCGCACTGGGCTTCTTAAACAGCTGTCCCCTTCCCAGGGCTCGTTGTGCCCAACTTGGGCTTCTCTAAGTTGTCCCCTTCCTGGGGCTCATCACGCCTGCACTGGGCTTCTCAATCGTGCCCCCCTCTCTGGGGCTCGTCACGCCCACACTGGGCTTCTCAAAACACCCCTCTCTGGGGCTTGCCACGCCCGTGCTGGGGTCCTCACACTTCATTGCAAGTCCCCAATGAGGCCTCCTCCAACCCCTTATAGCCTCACCCAAACCACTGGTGTAATAAACAACAAAATGCTACAGAAACTTGAGCCTCCTGGCTATAACATAATGTAAAGCCGCCTGGCTAAACCACGTTGCACAAATGCCCTAGAGCTGCCATCCATAACTCTGCTCAAGCAATACCTGCGGGTCTCGCTGTTTCTCGCATCCCTACTCCGGGAGCTCCTGCCTCTCTGGCTGCTGGTAGGAAACTGCCTATAAGGACCAGGCACTGCCTCCTACAGGCAGCTGACCACTGGCAGGTGTGGGTCATTTGCTCCCTCCAGTTGCCCTGGCAACCCACAGGTGGGCTCCTATTCCCTGCTAGGGCTCTTTCTCTGGCAGTTTCTGCCCTCTCTAGGAGCAGAGCACCTCAGTGCTCTGCGACACCCTAAATCAAAAGCAATGGGGCTTAAGCATGAGAAATTCTTAACTACTTGCCTGTCAGATCTGAGGCTTTTCCCAGATTAGCTGGTAGCTGAGCCATGGTTTGAGGCAAACTAGTAGAGTGAACTTGTGTCCAAGAAATGCTTGTCTACTCCATTTGCAACTGCAAAGGTAACAAGATTCAAGAAGACATGCATGTTGTGTCTGTACTGCTGTGTGAAGCCACTCAAGATCATTTCACTCAGTTTTATTCACAAGTACAATCTGACACTGCAATGTTAAATACACTGTTTATACACAAAATACAGAAGCTTTATAAACAAATACTGTTAAGAACCATTCTACAAAAAAGAAGTCACATATTGCTTCAAGCTTAGATGGCATTTCTTCAGCTTTTAAAGTGAATTCAGTGCTAGCAAAACAGAATGAGGCAACTTCCTCATCCTTCCCATCCCTTTCAAGGAGGGACCAATTGTAGGGTTGAGAATCAGGCTCTAATTATGGCTTTGTGGCTGAGTGCACTGCCCGTTCCAGAAACTAGACTGAAACAAGCAACTTGCTGTACACAGACCCTCTTAACTTTTGGTCACTTCTTTGCAAGCTAAAACCGAGTCCATTCCTGAAGGTCTTGTTTCAGTGCCAAATTTCACATCATCATACATTTTAATATTAAAAAGGCAGATGTACTCTTCCTAGAATGAAAAAATTAGTTTAAATGTGCATCTGCTACCTGGATAGAAGGACAGTCAAGCCTGTCCGTTGCAAGTTTGTTAAATTTGGCCCTAAAGCTAGGCAAGTGTCCCTGTAAGTATCAAATTACATGGTGCGAGGAAGATGTGAGAGCACTAGGACTGAGCACAAGCATGCTACTCTACTGTACAAGGACATTCTTTTACACAGTTTTTATTGTAACACTGCACACTGAACACACCGGCTTCAGAGCTTGGTGTAGTTGAAGAAAGTGCATTACACCAGCAGGACACAATCACTGCTTTACTATGTGGAGTGCTTTCGAGCATCTAGTGAAAGACACTGGAGTTTGTCAGGACTTAGCAAAAAGAACTAGGAAATAACTGACCACAAAAATAATCGGAACAAAACTCTTTTTTAAAACAAGAGGGAAATGCTTGAGGCTGCAGTAAGTTAGCATGGCATCTTTAATTCTTCAACTGCCAGGAGACAGTTGAAACTGGAAAAACTGAAAACCTCTTTTTACACTGTCTTGGTGCAAAAGCCATTCCACTTCACTGAACATGTATGTCAAATCTAGCTCACATTAGCCAAGTATTAATAGGAGTTTCTTGCTCTCTGAAAAGCAGCTAGCCTTTCATTAGGGCTCTCCTTCAATACCACATTCCTAAATTTAATATGGAAGCTGTTTAACTGCGAAAACCATTTTCAAGAAAGCATTTTCGTTACTCTCTGCATCACTTTGTACCAACAGCTGCAGGGTAACACTTGGGACTGCAAATTCAAGTGGTCAGCTTGCCTGTGCAGTTTCCTAAAATTAAGATGCTTTGCATCCACAACTGACTTGGCAGCAAGCATGGGGTCAGCTTTATACCCCTTGAAGTCATAGCTTTAAGTACTATGATAGATCCTTTCCACCCCCCACCCCCAAGAAGGTCATCTAAAGAAGTTGGGTTAGGTGAGGTGGCTTTCCCAATAGATGTTTTTTGCAGGAAAAAAAAAAAAAAAAGTTGCTTCTGTTCAGGCTGCATATATGCACACGCCCCAGGTAAGAACAGGGAAAATACAGCACTCAGGTGTGCAGGGATCTTTTAAGTTAGAGCTAAAAAATGACATTTGACAGTCATGCAATCTGACTTTGTAGCACTTCTGCCTTCCAGCAAGTTAAATGTTGGTAGAATAAGAACTACTGACCAGACTATCAGGGGACAAGTAAAAGACAAGCCTGAAGCAACTTTAATGCTGCGGCTTACTTAGGTTTCTCATGCCATCTAGGGCATATAAGCAAACCTTCTTCTTCCTCATACTTTGCTTGATTTGACACCTGCACTGAAAGCATAGAACAGTAGGCAGAATGGCTTTGACATTAAGACTTGCATCCTTCCAAAACAGAGATGCATCCAATATTTTGAGTTAAAAACTTAAACACCAAAAACAAAAAACAAAAAATAAACACATTGGGGAAAAAAACCCAAACACACACTCCCCACACATTTTTGTTCATCCAATATAGCTGCTACTAATCTCTGTTACTATTTTAAGGGATAAGATGCCCAGTGATCTGGAAGTTTACCTGAAACTTGGGGACTACTTAGAGCAAATATTTGAGAGAGGAAAAATAAAAATAAAAATATTATTTCTCCCATGAGGTTAAGAAGTAATCTCCAGTAGAATTGGATGCCCTCAGAAATGCAAGCGTCTTTCAGGAATTTCTAAAAAGAACTGCACAGAGGAGAGGTCGTCTTTCCAAGTTAGAAAGTCTCTAGTGCAAGGGTTGGAAAAGTCTTTTAGGAACAGTGCACCAAATTAAGCCAAGTTCAAATTCAGGCAGCTGGTTGCAACTCTGACACCCCAAGGTGGTGGGGTGGATTAAAGATAATAAAATAAAAAGGCTTTAGTAGACCAGATCTAGCCTACAGACTATAGGTTGCTGACCCCTGCTGTAGTTGGCAGTTTGAGGGCAGGTTAGAAGACAACATTTTACAAAGTTTTTCACTCTTAAATTTTGCAACCCAAGTGAAAAGGCCATCATTTAAATTCCATGAGATGGAATGATTTAGTAAGTTAGTTTTATTACTCTGTATATGAAAAAAATAAAATTATAAAATTTAAAAACCAAGGCAATAGGAAAGCTGTGCTTGCTCCATCAGCCTTGGACTCTTTCAGTCATCCCCTTATGAAAGGGGAACCTTGATATTACCTTTCTGCACACCGAGTCTCAGATAAATCACTGCCTTCAGTTTTTGGAATCCAATGTCTGCCTTCCATTTTCCAAGGCTTGTACAGTGAAGCCAAACAGAAACTGGTAGATGCATTAGTTTTAAAAATCTGCTATACCAACACACCTCAGGACAAACTTCCCACCTCAAAACTAGCTTAAGACGGTCTTTAAAAATCCTGAAGTGTTAAGGTCAAACCATGGTAAAACATGTTCAGGGTTCAGTAATGTGTTCTGTATAAAAGAATGCACCTTGAAACACACACCACACTTCAAAGAGGTCTCAAAAAAGCTCACAACTATTATAAGCATCTTTTTTAAAGCTCACACTTAGTATTCAAAAGGTAAAAATTCCATTTACAGCAACCTGATAAAAGGTACATTGAGGATCTAACATCAAACAAGTGCTGGCTGTCCTACGGAATTAAAAAAGAACCCATGAAATAAAAATATCTAGAGATTTTGGTAGTCTCTGGGTTTCCCAGGGATGTTTTTTTCCCCCCCTTGGTAAGGAGTTATGCCTGTACCTCGGGGGAAGATTGGACCCCATAAATAAGTTAATTTGCAAGTGTTCATCAAAATTACAAATCTAAACCTTCTATCAAAGTATTAACTACACTAAACCAGGTGGAATTGAGTCCATTTTTTCTTGGAGCATTGACAGATTCACAGATGCAAGTGTTAAAAATAGGACTTCACTATTCAGAAACCAGCTTGCTCATTAGAGTGCACACTTTTAAAAATGTAATCTGAAACTGGTATTCAAGTGATTAGACCCAAACATAGATAGATGTGTCCCCTAGCTTAATACAGTGGTCCCTGGTCAATACTGGTAGAGTGAGTAACTGTCTACTGGCCGACAGCCATTAAATAGTGATTGTCTACAATCGACCATTTGGTGTTCGTTGTGAAAACAGCAATTTAATCCTGTGACTAATTCTTGCTGTGCAATAAGTAATCACAGGATAATACTGATGTAATCCACGACATTGTAAAACAATGAAAAATAGGAGCATACCAGTAAGATTCACTATTAAAATAATTTGAGAGAGTATCACATTAACATTTTTGAAAGCCTGAAAAAAATAGACGGGCAACTTCTGGCAGCTGTCTGCAGAGACAAACACAGATCTCCTATCATTAGTGAAGCTTACTAGAGCCACACTGGCTTTCTGGTTAGCCGCCTGAATGGAAGTGATAAAGTACTATTTTAAATAATGCAAAGGCACCTACATCACACCCACATACACAACTTAAGAGAATTATGAACGTTTGTATTAAGGGGTAGCTGCATGTTTGTGACCTACATTTAGTGGCTGTAAACATTTGCTTAGATATTTAATGTTTTGAAATTGTTTTCTTAACTTGAAATGCCTCTTCAAAAGATTTTTAAAAGGTGGAATGTTTAAAAAACCATCTTCAAATGTTATGGCTCCAACTATACACCCTACTGTGAGGTAGGTGACAGAGTACAAACATTGTCACAAACTGCTGGAAACCCTTATAAAAACCTTGCATAAATAGTTTGGTTCTTTGCACCAATATCCTGATTTAATTTTTTCTTCTTTTAAAATGTCCCAGGATGTTTTTTGATTCACCGAGCTCTTGCCGAGTAGCATCTCATGTACTCTGTCATCCAAGGATTATCTGGTGGGGATGATTTTGTTCTCCAGGCTTTCTCCGCATCTGCAGAGCGCACTCGCCTCTGAGACAGCTTCCGCTTCTCCACTTGCCTTCTGTTCTTTGCTCGTAGTGCAGACTCATGAATCTATCAAAAACAGAGCGAGTCAGTCTTATTAAAAGAAAAAAAAAAAAATTAAAGGGAGTTTAATTTCAAAGAAAAAAAAAACAAAACTAAAAAGGTCTACCTTCACCTTTCCCTCCCAAAGCCAAGAAGGGGAACACCACCATTCCCTAGTAAACTATTTGCAAAGGATTCTAGAGGAATTAATGTACAGAACATCTTGATAGAAATTACCATTAAAAACAACAGGAGACAAACATCCTGTTGTCTGATTAAACCAAATTGTTCCCCCACCCTCTTGTTTTCCGTCTCCTTCAAGATATCACTGAAGGACAAAAGATGTCTTGACCATGCTGCATTTACATAAAATTATGTTAAAGTAAGTGAAATTGAGTGTAAAAAGTTTCACAAGTTCATAATGGCTGTTTCTTAAAAATGAAGTTATATAGTACAATACACATATCTGACTTAAGTTCTCTCTTGGAATGTCTCTAATTTAAAATAAAGGAAAGATTCATTTGAACACTAAATAGGAAACCCAGAGACCACCAGAAGAGATTTCCATGGATTTTAAGGTACACAATTAGTAGCTTCCCCCCATCCCCCACCTGAATTAAGGGCAGATTCACCAACACCAGCCAGCCTTTAGAACCCAAAATATATTAATTCTTAGTTTGTAACCCGCATCTTGGCTTGGTGGGCAATACTAACTTTGCAAGTAGTATATAGGAAAATAGAAGCCTTGTTCTCAATTCACAACAATGCTTAAAAAGCTAATTTCACAGTTGTCCCTCAGCTCCAGGCAGCACTGCTGTAGAGAATCTCTCAACCAACAAGCAATCAGGACTCATGGGAGAGCTGATATCTTTTATTAGACCAACTAGATTTTTTTGTTGTTGTTGTTACAAAAAGTCTTCAATTGCAACCTTTTGGGCACAAACACCCTTCATCAGGCATTGGAGAAAAGATTGTAAAGAGTTCTCCTGGGTAGAAATGAAAGTTCATATTCCATAGAAGAGTTGAAGGTGGGATAAAATCTACTTGGAACAGTTCATTGTATATGCAGATTAGGCTCAGAGAAAAAAAAAAAGTTGGAATAGTCTGGTTGCCTCAAAGTTGTTTGGTGGCAAGCAGGATGTAGTCATATTTTCTTCTGGTTATGATATTTCATATTTCACAGGGGAGTAAATAGATGCAATGCTCTTCTGGGCAGGCATTTCTTGTCTAGTAAGGTGTCTCGGAGCTCTGTGATGATGCAAATTACTTCAAACAAGAGCAGGATTTCATGTTTCAGGTGGTCAAAGTTGCTTCCTCTTTGTAAAATTATGAAGATTTCATCTTTTACAATCTTTTCTCTGATACCTGATGAAGGGTGTGCGCGCCTGAAAGCTTGCAATTAAAGACTTTTTTTTTTTGCAAAAATCTAGTTGATCTAATAAAAAGATACCACCTCTACCATGAGTCCCGATTGCTTTTTCCTCTAGACCAATATGGCTACAACCTGGATACCTTTCAACCAACAAGACACTTTCAAGAATGCTGTGACTACTGATTAGTGCAAGAAGGAACAGTTAGACCAAGCAATCTACTAGGCATGTGCGAAGCTTTGGTTGCCAATTCTATTTGGAGAAGATTTGGCCTAATTCGGAGGCTGAGTCACCAGATCAGAATCCAATTGGGAGGCAAAAAACCCCCACTCTGAATTGACTCAGAAAACGATTAGGAGATTCGGCAATTCAGAAGGCAGTCTGGCAGGGAAACAAAAATTGGGAAGAGGGAGGGGGAGCAGGGACTGACATCTGTAGCTAGCCAGTGACTGTGATCTTTCCCCGAATCCCCTTCCAATCACAGTGCTCTGGGGGAAAGATGCAAAAAACAGCACATAAGCCTCTGTCTGCAGCCTTTCTGTCCCTTTTGTGAGCCTTTTTTACCTGAGCAAAAGAGGGGTGGGTGGCTGGCCCAGAAACAGGTGGGTGGGCAGAGATCTAACTGGCACCAGGAAGGCCCCCTGTTACAGGCTACCATCCCTGCTGTTTTCATCCCACTGTGCAATACACACAAAGTCACACATGTCACGAGTTTTGCTTTGAACAGTTTGAGGTGCGGTTTCCCAGAAACCCTTGCATCCATCTCCTTAACACTTGGCAGGCTTCATACCCTCAGAAGGGGCTACCATCCCTGCTGTTTTCATCCAAATCTGCCAAAAAATGATGAAGTTATAGCTATTTCTGTGATTCCCCATTATAGTCCACGACTGAATCTCTCCAAATCAGCACTGACTCTTTCAAAGCCAATTCAGCCGAATCAATTCAGGACAGCGATCTGAATTGAATCACTGTCCTCCAAATCAGCTGAATCCAAATCAAATACTTCCCTATTTGCACAGGCCTACAATCTACCAATGATAAACCCTTGACTCAGTGCTATGAAGGCAGATAGATCATTGTGATAGTGAATTTACATGCAACTGTTCTGTCTATCCAGAAAAGTTAATAACTGGTTGACTTGAGTATTAAACAGCTCCACTGGAGACCCTGGAACTGAATTGACATGGTTCATATAGTAGAACCTGGATACTTCACAGGGTTAGGTTCCTCCTCCCCCCACATGCAGGAGTATGCAGAGCTGCAGCAAACTGCTATGTAGGCCTGCCGAGATGCTCAGACTGGTTGCCATGACTCATTTTAGAAAGCACACTTCTCCAATCAGCTGCACAGGACTGCCAAGCCCATTCCAACCGAGTGGAAGAGCAAAGTACAAAGCACAGCAAACAGCTGGGCAGCTCATGTACAATTTGGTTTGAACTGCTCATAGACAATCTGGATTCTACTGGGTCTGCTATAATTATGTAAATTATGATCCGATTCCATCACATATATAGTCCACGTACAAGATTATTTATGCAACGTTGTGTTCTTCCATTATAGGAACAAAAATAAAACACTAGAACTATAAGTTGTAAGGGTCCACTTTTAATTAGTTTTGCCATTGCTTAAAATTTTATATATTCTAATATTATAAAAGCCTACGTCTGTCTGTCTGTAACGCTTTATTCGTGCTCCAGTTGTCTGACAAACAGCCAGAGTGCGAACAAGTGTTCAAACAGGAGCTGGCAGCGTGCTGGAACACCGCCGTAATGGTGGGACATAGGGGACGAGAGGGGAAAGGAGGCCTCGCCCCCCCCCACGCCCTTATTCCTTGCAGGTGACGGCGGCAGCAGTGCAGGAGGGAGTGGGAAGGCCACCAGCTCTGGGCTTGGCCTGTCCCGCCCCTCCCCTCCCCTGTTGTCACCGCCTGCAGGGCCCGATGCGGGACAACGTGGTGGCAGTGGGAGGAATAGCAGGCATGCTGTGCCACTCCACATTCTACAGGACAGACTGGAAAAAAAGTTATATATATGCCACAGAAATCACTTTTTATATTAAAACTACGATCACTAGGACTTGTCAGTGATGAAATTATTATTGCGTTGCCAGAGTGGTCCCACAGAAGTATATGCTTGCCCATATTTCTAGTAGCACAGCATTACTATCAAACTTCCCCTCTCACATATGCATTACATCTATCTGGAATATGTATTCCAGAGCAAAATATTATACCCCAGGAGATGAATTCAGTGCAACTGTTGGCTATGTGCAAGGCAACATGACAGCCCATTTACTCGCTCCACACCCCCATCCTCAAGTGAGCCCTGTACACACCACAGTTACAGTTGCACAAACAGCTATATAATTTCAGAGGCTTTAAAAAGGTGTCATTTTGCTCTAGAATCACACCTTTGTTTTAAAGACCTTTCTTTTGGGCACCGTAAGGGCAAATTCTCAGAAACGGCTTGAAACATTGGGACTGGAAGAGTCAGAGCCAGAGTCCCATTCCCAGAAGGTGGCAGTACTCTTATTCATCTTAAGATCAGCATGTCAACCAATTTGTTGTTTCCCTGTTGAGTGTCACAATAAAGCTTTGGTCAGTGACTTAAACTCATTCACCACAGCTGGAAGTGGCAATACTGGGGCAGATTACTTCATTCAAAAGATTGCTGGGATAAGAAAATGAGGAGTTTAAAAA